AGAATGGATATAAAAAAATAAACAAAAGATATAAGAAAACAAATCAATAATTATATATTAAACATTAAATACAAATAGCTAGAGATTTACTGATAACAAAATACCAAGAATATCAATATAATATAGGAAAGATAAATCAATATAATATAGGGAAGATAAATCAATATATGAGTTTACAATTAATAAAAATAAAATAAAAGAATTATTAGTAGCTATTATAATAAGATTAAACAAAATATTGTTAGCATAGAAATTGTAGTAGGGGTATGACGCGACATGTGGGGCCCGGCGCGATGCCACATGGGGCATCGATCATGCATTAATCATGCATGACCAATGGACGCAAAGCTTGTAAAAGTTTAATAATTCTGCATAACGTGACGATAGATTTAGAGACACATCACAGCCATGTATAAATAGCAATGATATCCAATATAAAGAGAGAGACACGATTAGGGCTCCTAACGATACCACTTCGATATCAGTTCAATACCAGTTTGATATTTAATTTACTATAAATTTATATAAGTGGATCATAACCCATATATTAAATTTATTATAGATCGATACCATTTCAATACCACTTCGATATCGGTTCAGTATTTTTCAGAGCTCTAGACACAATCAAATAACGAATTAATAAAATACTATTTGCTGTAAATCCAATTGTGTGTGCTAGTGCAACGATAATTAATAAACTTATCTTATTTGTCTCTAGTTGTCCTAGAAAGAATTCACAGGTTCTGCAGTTTGGCAGCGAAGGATTGGAAGAGGAACCAACCTAGAGAAAAGGAAGATAAGGATAATTATCATCATACATACCTTTGGTATTGCCAGCGACATAGACCCACTTACCCAACGTCATACGAGTCTTGGTTCAGATTAGCGACTGACTCACCATTGAAGCCAACAATATATAACTATATTATAGGTAACACAAATGTATACTGATATTATTAAACTTAATAAATATAGAATTAAAAAAATTGAAACAGGTAATAAATAATAAAACACAAGCCAAAATCTAACTATAGCAAAATATTGTACAACAAGAACAAAAGGAAATATAATAACAACAGAAATAACAACTTATAGCAAAATAAAACAAGTATAAATAAATAAAATTAAGAAGAAAATAAAGATATAGAAAGATTATTAATACTGTATATACAGATGAATCACTTGAATGAAACAAAAAATATATAAAGATAGGTATAGAAATTATCTATAAAAATATAAAACCAGAAAAAAAATAATATTTAGTGATAAAGTAACAAACTGGCTATTCTTCACTATAGTAGAGGACATTACTATAGCAATAGCATTATATATAGCAAATAAAGAATTAAATATTACAATAAAAATAAATAGTTAAACAATACTAAATAATATTCAAAAATATTTGACAGAAAACAATATAATTAATTGTATAGTATTAATAAATATAGTCTATATCCAACAAAAAAAAGAAAAAAAAAAGAATTTATATATTTTGAAAAAATTAAGGCATATATGGAAATTGAATAATGAGTTATCGAACTAGTTAGCTAACAAAAGAAGAAAAAAAACCAATATCAAAAGCATAAGTATAAATAAAGATGTACTAATAAAAATCAAAACATATTTGAAATAAAAAAAAGTATATTTAATATAAACATTGTTACATGTGATTTTCACTCAAAGATTTACATTACCCTTGTATTACTTTTACTAGCATTTATCCTTGTAATATTGTCTATTCAAGAATAATCTTTATACTACTGATCTATATCTTCACTGCCTTTACCTTCATCACCTTTATTACCTATATTACCTCTAGAATCTTTTATTACTTTATTATCTTTATTACCATGTATATCTTCACTAAAGTATTTTCCTGTATTTGCTATAAGTATGTTAACTGCTCTAACAAAGATAACATCTATTTTATCAATATTACTACTATTATCTATTATATACTCCAAAATATATATATAAATACCTCCAATTCCTCCTGGAATTACAAGATTGAACTTTTCTCTTTATTAATAAAATAACTTGATCTTTATAAAACAAATCACTATTGTCTCTTTTGTTTGATCTCATACATCTCAGAACTGTACTAATTTTAGTACATCCTTATGAACTTTAGCATACCACATTGGTTCATCTATACAAATTGTCTCCCTGCTATTAGTTCTCCGTCCATATCTTTCTCCTGAGGTAGGAAGATATATAACAAATTGATGATGACTGTGAGATGTGCCTCATCCGTTAGACGCAATTTTGACAATCAAGACCCAAAAATAAAATGCTTTTTGATTGCCACCCCTGAGGAATTGTCCTGAGGAAGTTCGATCTTCACAGGAGTGATGAAAGCGATGTTGTGTCTGCGATGATCAGAGAAACGAAGACCAATTTTGCTCCAATGACGATGCCCAAGAAGAATTCAGCAGCTGGTATATATCGAATAGATGAAAAAGCATCGTTCTGACCTAAAAGAAGTCCTAAACCAATGATAGGAGCTCCAGAATGGCTTGCGCAAAAGAAAAGCAAAACCTAAAAGAACGACGATCACAGGATCAGCAGTATATGCGCCTCCTCTTAAAAAAATTAAAATACAAAAAAATAATGAATTAATGATGCCGTAACGATAAGAATTCGCTACCCCTGTCCAAAGAAGAAACAAGAACAAGAGAAGTTTTATCTGATCCAATATAATGAAGAAACTTGCCTTGTTGAGCGACGATAGCTTCGAGGATACTGTCGGAATGCTGTATGATCGTTAGATCGTCACACCTCCACAAAAAGAAGAAGAAATGGTGGATTAGCATTGGCTGTTTCCAAAAAAAAAAAACCTTATTAAATATATCCCAGGTAATAAAAGTTATTCAGAGCTATGTTGTGTAAACGTTGTTAAGGGAAGGAAGTCGGGTGATCCACTGGTGAAAAGCGTCTCCGAATTATTAGAATTGGAAAAGAAAAAGAAAGTAAAAATAGAAAAGAAACTGGTCGCCTATGTAATTTGGAAGCAAATAATATCTTGGTGAATAATAATGGCAAATAAAATAAAAAAACAAAAAGAGTAAAATACTGATTTGGAACAAGTCATTGGTCCCGAGGGTCATGCCGGGATACTGACAATCACAAAGAAATGCTGTGGCACCAAAAGAATCAAGGGACGAGTTCCTAAAGGAAGAAAGGACCGTTCAGTAAAAAGAAAAGAATGGCAAAAAACCAGAAGGCAAAGAACTAGAACTTACCGACAAGATCCTAGTAGCCAAGCCAGGGATGTAATATCGCCGAGGGTCAAGGAGAACCCGCAGATAGCGAATTGAATGTAAAGCATGGGGCTAGGAAAAGACTGATAAGAAAAAGTAGAAGCCAACGGTAGAAAGCCACAAAAGAAAGAAAACACCACAACTTACCATAATTACACCAAGACGAGAGAATACGACCAAGACCGATGATTGGAAATGCTGAAGTGCCATCCTGATCGTGAAGAAAAAGTTTATTATACGAAGTCTGCAAATGATAAGCACGCCTAGAATATATATGCATACATATATATTTTCAAAGATGTCAGAACAGCAAGGAAAGTCTAATGCTTCGACAAGCCCCCACCGTAATAAACGACTGATGAGAGATATACCGTCCTGACGATTGGAAATACTGGGACAAGACCGCGAAAAAGGCACCGACGCAAAAAGAAAAAAAAAGAAAAAAAATATGGTTAGAGAAAGAACTAACCATACACAACAGCCGAAACACAATGAAAAGCTTATCTCACCTTCTGAAGATGACAGCCCCAAAAATCAAATGCCGAGATGCTGTCATAATTGTGATCACAATCATGATCATGATTGTCTACAAGAAATCATGAACACCACTACCATTACGAAGAAGATGATGACACTGAAGAAAAGGAATGAAAGTGAGACAACACCGGGATCAGAAGCAACACGTATGCAAAGAAGCCACTTACCTTTGATAAGACACTGGCCCAAAGAGGGATGCGGAATGGCACAGAGATCTAACTATAGCCAGAATTCTGGCCTCAAGGAATATACAAGGAAATGGTGGAAGAAGAACCACATCATGCAATTTCCAGACGAATATGGGGAAAAGTTAACCGAAATCATCGATTACAAATAGCTAATCGCAATACTGCATCAAGTCCCCATTTGATTCGAAGTTCGTTTATAGCTACGTCTCTATCCAATATACTGCCAACATCTGTATCTATGACATATGCTTCGTCAAATCTAAACGACCCTGTGAAATAGAATCAGCTACTCAATTAATAAAGTGTTCTCATGTCGAATCTTCCACAAATATTTATTCACGAATACAAATGGTATTAAAGCAACCTGGAGTCGTTACTCCTAAGAAATTAAAGAACAGTAAACTGACTGCCGCATGGTCCCTGGAGTTGGTGACGATTTATCCCTTGATGCAATTTGTTGGAATCGACATTGTAAAGACATTTCCATTTGAAATAAAGCCCACGAACCTGGAGTTTCTCAAGTATGATGTCAACAATGGAATACCAAAATGCCACCATAATCACAATCATGATCACGATCATGATCACGATCGTGTTCCGGAGATGATGAAAGAAAGCCTATGGAAGAGCTTATCACTGCCGTATCAAGACCTATACAAAGACTTTGACGAACCTGCGATCTTTACTGATCATTGCGATTGATCATGTAATGGCAATGGCATAACCTACCAAAGAAACAAGATGTGGTTAGCATATATTCCAATACCATATACATATACATACCTACCTTGATAGTATACATGTACCTATATCTTGCCCATCGAGATTAAACCATGCCATACCATTAAGATTCTATAAAAACAAATGAAGACAAATGCAAAGATGGTATTACCTTACCCCTTTTAATTACTCTTATCTTTTTACAATTCCTTTATAATTCCTTTGATTATCCCTCATACTCTATTAGCATTTAGTAACACATATATTATTTTATTTCTTTATTTTTAAGACTTGAGAAAATATTATTATTTGCTTGGGTAATTTCATAAAGCCATTACATAGTTGTAGATGACCTTGATTCTTAGAAATCCATAGCATATGCTAGTTAAAGGCTGGTCAGTCATGAAGCGTAAAATTGTAGCAGGATGATGTTTAAGGCTATAGTATTTTATGAAATTATCAAAGTGATTAATATTATTCTTTCAACTTATACTTAAACATTTTTTTTTTTATTTTTATTTTTATAATTTTATAATTTTTATATCTTTTACAACTTATCAAAAACATTTAAAATCTATAACTTCTATGACGTCTATTAATATAATGCTCATTTCTTAACACTACCCTATATCCTTGTGTTAACCTTGCCAAATATTTATACTCCTGAATCAACCGATGAATATTTTTTCCCAGAGGTTTATTTCTTCTATAAAAACTTAACCCAGCCAATTGACACCTAATATTTCTATTAGATTCATTTATATTATCCAAAGTTCTTCACTGAGTATTTAATTCATATTCTAAAGCAACACACTGGTTACAGGAAGAGGAAGCGTGGAATTCAACAGGAGCAGGAACAGGACTTTCAATAGAATCAGAAATAGAAGTAGAAGTTGAAGAAACAACAGAAGAAGCCATCTGAGATACATGAAAGGAATGACGAATAGTAGCCATAAAACTTGCATAGGAAGAAGGAAAGAAGACATGACCACTAAGACGGTTGACCCAATCACCATGACGACCAGCATGACAAGAAGTATTGTTGGTAGATATGATTTAAAAAGCTAAAGCGAAGAAAAAAGGAAGAAAAATCAGTATCCAATATTAAAACAAAAAGGAATGTTTAAAAGAAATAAAAATGATAAATATTTTTGGATATATGAATCATCTTCAAAGTAGAATAACCTAGGAATCCACTAGGCTATGACCTGTCAACGCTATACAGAGAGAACAAGTTTATAGAAAATACATAGGCATATATCCAATAATTTTGAAAATAAAAAGAATAAATTCATCTGATGAAGAGGGAATAATTCAAAAAATTGGATACCTTGGAAAAACAATACGCAAAAATTTTTAAAAAATGATAGTTGAACTTGTACTTGAAAAGTTTGGCAATATTTGAACAAAAATCAATTCTTAAATATTAAATTATTTGAGAAACTGATAGAAACAAAAGGATCTTTTGACCACTATAAATCTGCAACTTGAAATTTACCTCACCACTATATACTATTTAAAGAAAACAAGTATATAAGCAAACTTGAATGGATTGACCTAATATAACTATGAGAGATAATTATTAACATATGAAATCTGAATAAACAATACAAGGAAAACTTGATTGACAACTGATAAAGGAAAAATTGTATGAAAGAAACTGTGTGAAAACTTTATTCAGTATTGGAGATATTTACAGCGACAGACAGTCTGTAATTCGTGAATCCAAAGTCTAACAAAGAGAATATCAGTAGTGGATACAAAAGTAATATTGAACATATAAGTCTTGAATCGCATGGCAAGCGCAATAAATCTTGCTAAGCATTGTTAATATTTGAATATCAGCTATACAATTATAGAAATTGATTATTAGGACAACATATCAATGAAATTTGCAATTTGAGAATAGTATAAAAAGCTTATTCACATGAATTTATCTTTTCTAATTTAACAATTTGCTCATGAAACTCGCAGATTAGTGGGGGAGAATTGGTATATGTGATTTTACTCAAAGATTTACTAGTATTTATCCTTGTAATATTGTCTATTTTAGAATAATCTTTGTACTACTGATCTATATCTTCACCACCTTTACCTTCATCACCTTTATTACCTATATTATCTTTAGAATCTTCTATTACTTTATTATCTTTATTACCATGTATACATTTGCTAAAGTATTTTCCTATATTTGCTGTAAGTATGTTAACTGCTTTAACGAAGATAACATCTATTTTATCAATATTACTACTATTATCTATTATGTACTTCAAAATATGTATATAAACGCCTCCAATTCCTCCTGAAATTACAAGGTTGAACTTTCTTCTTTATTAATAAAATAACTTGATCTTTATAAAACAAATAACTATTACCTCTTTTGCTTGACCTCATATACCTCATATACCTCAGAACTGTACTAATTTTAGTACATCCTTATGAACTTTAGTATATCATATTGGTTCATTCATACAAAGTGTCTTTCTGCTATTAGTTCTCTGTTCATATCTTTCTCCTAAGTTATGAAGATATATGACAACATAAAATCATTTCTCAAAACTAATAAATATATAAAATAAGCAAGATATAAGCAATACAAAACAAATATAAAAGCTAGTTAAATAAATAAGAGGCAAGAAAAATTGATTGGCTAAATATATGAAAAGCAAATAAAAAGAAAGTATTATAAAAAAAATAGACTATTAAAATTATATATAACAAGAATTTGTAGATTTTTGATACAATTAATACAATTATTTAATGCAATTAATTAAGTCATTAATAAAATATATAAAATAATTAAATCAGATCCAATTATTTTTGAAGATTTTGATAATTAAAAATTCTAATAATTCTGTATTTGATTCTATTCAATTTCAGCTCTTATAGTAAATTTAATAGGTGGGTTATAATCCATAAAAAGACAAAATATCTTTTATTTATAAAATAATAAACTGCCAACAATAATAAAATTATATAAAAAAAAATTTGATAATATAAAACTAATAAATATATTAAATATAATAAGCCAAAAACAATAGATTATACAATCTTGATATACTATGAAAAAATAAACATATTGTATATAACAATTTCATTAAAAACACTATACAAGAAATCATTAAAAGAAAGAAAAGAAATACAAACTTGATAAATATAAAAGAAAAACTCAAAAAAGTACTATTAGAAAACAACTTTAACAAAATATTTATCTAAAGAAACATACTACAAAAAAAATAACAAAAATCATTAGAGAACTTATAGAAAAAAACAAAAGAAAGATATGCAGTAGTATCATTCAATTAATAAAAAACAAGGTTATAAACATATGGAAAACAAAAAACAAAGAAGTATAGAAATGAAAAGAAAAAGAAAATATTACTATACAAGATAAAAGAAGCACAGATATAAGATACACAAAGCAATGCAATAATAGAAATATAACAAAACAGATCTGAGTTACAAAAACATAACTATATAACATTAAAGGATATATTATATATAAAAGTTAATTTTTTGATAATTATATTGTGCTAAAATCATTTAATCACCAGTATAGCTTAGATATGTTAACTTGAACTTTTATAACTAATCTTTCAAGGAAATTAGAAACAAGTTCCAGTAGCAAGCTACTATCAAATAAGTAGTTTTTATTATATATATATAGTTTATTTGGATTATAGTATATAATAAATAAAGTAAAGTAAATTTGATCTTGCTAAAAAGAAAAAAAAATATTATTATTATTATTTAATTATTTATATTGTAATTGTATCAAAATACTATTAAGCTTGTAATTATGAAAATATAAATATAAATATAATTTTATTTGATTATAATTCATATTGAAACTTAACATATTTAATGATGAATTTTATAATTAAAGTTAAAAAGATATAAATTAAGCTTAAAAATTAAAATTGATTTTTTCTGAATATATTGTTTAAAGAAAATAAGAACAAATAAATATAGTTTTTAATAAATTTAAACTTTTTTATAATTATAAATATTGTTTTTTTTTATTTATTTTTTTCTAATCAAATGGCTAGTAACATATCATTAATCTATTTATAAAAAATAATAATACAATATATAGTGTGATACTATATTAAAAATAAATTATTTCTCATAGCAAAATACTTGTCAAAAAGTTATTTGTAGATTTGTATATAATTCTTAAATTCTTAATATTAAGACCACTATATTGTCTATATAATTTAACTATTTATTAACTATTTCATTATAAAAAATAAGTTCATTAAGCTATTATTACATAATATTAACTATTTTAGACTTTTTTTTTTTTAAAAAAAAACTCTTTCCTATTTATCCAGATTCACCTAAAATCTGTAGTAAACAGATAAAGTTCATCAGAGGCCCTATCTATTATTGCAATGCACAATAATAACATTATTTGGAGTAAGAGTTCACCTGCCTTCACTCACAAGCAGCATCAGGTATCTAAAATATAACAAAAACTTAAGCAAAAATAGCAATTAACAATACCTGAAGCAAATGGTAACAAAATATCTGACTGGTTAGCTATAATAAAAAAAAGAGTGGATAATACTTTTGATTAGATAGGGATGTTCAAATAAATATAAAGAAACTACAGTAGACATCTATTCTATCGATTTTCAGTAAGTCAAATAAAGACTTGTTACTCATAGAGCCAGAAAGTGAAGCAGAGAATCCTTTATCTATCAACATCCAATCATCCAGACCAACTAGATAGCCATTCATATTGCCAACAGACTGGCATATTCAATATGACTATTTTTACTATAGAACAGCTATCCAGATAAATAACCTAATAGGTATTATAAAGAATAAACTCAACTCAACCAAAAAATGGTCTTTTACTTTAACTTCTATATAGGCACCTGGGTAGTACAGCAACAGGGGGCCAAGCTGATTATCATCTCTTTTATAAATAATAATGATATCTAAAAAGCATGTAAAGTGTTAATCCAACAAGATAATAATCACTATATGGCTATACTAGTTAATATAGACCTAGCAAAGGCCAAAAAATAAATCAATTTGTATCTAAAACATCTTTCTTAATATCAATAAACAGGAAATCAAATAAAAACTTATTCAATTTGAATAAATTAAAAGCCTAAAAATGTATACTGCAAAAATATGGCAGAGTACAATAGCTGAATTTAAAAAACAAAAAGATTACAATAAAATTAGTACAAAATGAGAAATTTTATTTCAAATAGAACTTCTCAAATATATCTATTTTTGAAAACATATGAAATCAAATAATTATGAAACAAACATATCTTAAAACTAGCAAAACTTCTTCCAAGTACAACTGCTTATAACTTAAGAGAAATAATTAACAAAATCAAAACAGCATCCTATTATATTTCATACAACTATAACTATATAAAGAAGCACTTTACTATCTTCAATTTTGTATTAGTAGAAACAAAAGAACAAGCCAGAAACAAGAAGATATATCTTGAAAAACATTTTTCCAATGGTATAAGATGGAAAAAAAACTTTGCACAATATATAGTATAGCAGATCATCTGACAGTACTATATATAATTAAAGCAAAATATTAAGAATAATAACAAATGCTTAAATACAAAATAATAAGATACATTACTCTATATCAAAAATTTAAACCAGTAAAACAACAAATATCAGAAGAATTATACTTAGACAAGCTAGTAAATCAACTAATCAAGATCATCTTAGAGCTTGAAAACAATTCAATAAAGCCTTCAACAGATTTATTAACAAGGATACTTTTGTTTAGATAGCCAGACAACTCCTTAATAAGGAATTAAATCTTGTAACAAACAATCTAGCAGTTATAATAAATCTTCAATTATCTTTGACAGAAATTCTCAAAACTATATAAACAATTGAAGCAGAGCTTAAATAATCAAAGAAACCATTAATGATTTTAACAATAGAGTTAACAATCTGAAGAAATTTGTATACTTTTATATAGTAGATGAAGAAAAGCAAATGGAAGCAGCTATTGAAACAAGCAAAGAATATTTAGATCAAAATCTATTTCACACAATCACATCAAAATCAAGAGACTTTAATTATTAATACAAAAGGCAAGCAACAAGCCCTGCAGCGAATATATTAAATATTAGAAAACAATAAATTAATCTTAACACATATATGGCAAATATACTGTAGATAACATATTTCAATATATGATTGGTATCTCAATCAACTTATTAATAATATTACAAATACATTCTATCAATTAATCACCTATGATAAACAATAAGACAGTAGAAATGAAAGATTTTTTGAATGTATTATTGTTAACAAACATAACAGAAATAATGAGCACAAGTTATAACACTATATTATATCTTAAACTACTGCATGGAAATATTGACACACAATGTAAGAGGCACCAATGATCCTATCAAATAATAAATATTCTTTATATACTATATCCAAAGAGATATTAATATATCTATACTTACTGAAACACAAGTACAAAGTGAAAATCACAAATTCTGAAAATATTCAACTACAACATTATTTGAAACAACAATAACAAAGAAGATATTATTGTATTTATAATTAAAAAGATATTAGCAAATATATAAGCAAGACAAAAGAGTATTCAGGCAAAGAAATAAGTATAGATTTTCAATTTATAGAAAAAAAAGCATATTAATATTCTAGAAATCTATATATCTATAGTAGATAGCTGAAAAAAAGAAAAATCAACAAATAAATAGAAAAGGAAATTCTTAACAAACATAGGAAAAACTGGAATACAATTATTCTAAGAGATTTCAACTTAGTAATAAATTTTCAAATAGATTACAAATTAATAACTAATAAAAAATATAACTCATAGCTTCACATCTCAATGATATTATACTGTATATACTACAAAACCTAAATTACACAAACTGCTATAAAATACTTAATCCAATTACTTCATAATTCATCTGACAAAATTCTAGAGGCACAATATCAAGATTGAATTATATTTGAATCTCA